ACAACTCGCCTATTTCTGGTACAGGAATAGGTTCCATGGGATGGGTTGCCACTGTCGTAACCCCTTTTATTAGTTGGCAAAGCTTACAGGACACCACATAATCCATCACCTGACTTCTCATCCCGGGCCAGTAGGCCCTCTGTCGAAGTAAGTCGTACTTCTTGGTACACCCTGTATGTGCCATAACATCATGCACCTGAAGTAAGTGGAATCGACAATGACCAGTTTATTACACGTGCGACTAAGCAAAAGACAAAAATATCAGTCTGTATCTTATGAAAATTCTGGTAGTTTAATGACCGACAACCCGCATATAAATTTGGACCACAAAAATATGTTGCACAGTAGGGAAATTTTTCTACATAGGTTTAACGGGCAAAAGAGAACCACATTTACAGTTATCCATTCTTTTTCATTTTCAAGCCATCGAACGTTTAATGAGGCCATTCAATTTGTCATCACTGTCAAATATTATTTATGAACCGTGTGGGATGTTTCTAACTGGCGGGTAAATGATAGTAAATGACAGATGTGGAATGTTTAGTTATCCGTTGGATTAGCTAACCCTAAAAACAAAATTTGATCTTATTTATGGCCTTTGACTAAAATGGAATCACAACCACACACTATTTCTGTAATATTTAAAAATGCTGAGTATAAACTGTTTCAACAAGCATAACTAGTACAGACTGCATCCCTGTCGTCTGGTGGATTCTGTAAGCAAAGTAACTTGCCTATATAATCCCCTTCCAAATTTAGTTATTCGTAAGACATCTTATTCAGTACTTATTATTCACTGAAACAGGATAAGAAGACTGTCAATAGGATGCTTGCAAATATTTGCTGAATTTCAAAGGGTTAATATGCAACTGGCTTGTTCAACAACTTTTTATGCATGCCGCCTAATGAGTGTTAATGCAAGTGACAACTAAATAGAAGGTACAAGATCGGTGGGGCAAACTGCTTGTTGACATTTTACACATATCCAGCAAGATTACTTTCCTATCCACCTGTGAATCTTACCAGTCCACGACGAACAGCCGAAAAGCCTTGTAGGAGGGGTTCATCCTTATTCGAAGTAGCCCAGATTGGGCACCTAGTAAGACTGCAGGGAACTTTGGACCCTCAACTTCCCAGCAACTAGTGAAAGGAAAAAGATTTCGCTGCGGGGTTACTTATTCGGAAATCCCACCTGATTGGTTACAGACCATTGAACAAGGGAGCAAAACTCTAATCTGCATCTTAGATACAAAAACTGGACACAAATCTTCTCCCGAATGAGTCTTCCAAGAGATTCATTGCCACCACTCATTCGTCGGTCAAATGCAAGCAAATTTTACAAAGTGGCCCCACGAATTACGTAACAGAATTCCCTTTTTCAATCGACCCAAAGCGAAATTCTACGAACAACACATACTACTCGCGTGCCTCCCTAATCAGTAGCATCACCGTTACACACCTCCACACCTTAAAGCTCGTTCGCATGCCATTGATTTTCATTTACCTCCGTCAGATCAGCTTCGGCAGCTCTCCGGGTGTATCATGCTACTTGCGAAGCTGCGTTCCATTCACTATTTTCGGTCCCAGACCATCGTGAATGGTAATGACGTTCCCCCGGCGGTTGGTGAGGACAAACGGCACTTGCCATCGATTGCTTAGCTTCCGCGACCCCAGCCCACTACTTCCAGGATTCTGGTGGTCCTTCTACTTGACCTTCGTATCTATGGGGAACGTTCTACTTGCCTTTTTCTGCTTAGCCCTTTCCTGAGCATCGGCCAAATTTTCTCGAGCTCTCCTCCTTTCTTCCTCTAGCTTCTCCGGAGACAATCGTGTTGCCGGCCACAACCCAATTTCCTGATCAACCGGAAGGCGCGGATGTCGACCGCGCATCAGCATAAATGGAGACTTGCCTGTGGTTGACTGTATGGAGGCACGATGAGCTAAAAACACCATCGGCTAGTTCATTTCCCAGTCAGCTCCTTTGGTTAGGCGATTTGTTCGTGGGTGGTATGGTACCGTCCTTAGCCGTCTGATACCCAGCTTCTGCAAGCAATTACGAAACTCTTCGCTCTTGAAGCAAGGCCCCTGATCGGCTAGGATCATTTTTGGCACCCCATGGTTGGCCACGATGTGGTGCATCACCACTACGCTGATTGTCAAGCCCGCTGATTAGGCACGGCTGCCGCCTCAATCCATCGCAACAGGTGTTCCGTCATTGTCACGATGTATTGGTTCCCACTGGTTGTCACCAGAATGTGGTCCATTTGGTCAACTGACCACAACTCGCCTATTTCTGATACAGGAATAGGTTCCATGGGATGTGTTGCCACTGTCGTAACCCCTTTTATTAGTTGGCAAAGCTTACAGGACACCACATAATCCATCACCTGACTTCTCATCCCGGGCCAGTAGGCCCTCTGTCGAAGTAAGTCGTACTTCTTGGTACACCCTGTATGTGCCATCTCATGGCATTCGACGATGAGATTCCGTCTCAAGATGCGAGGTATCACAGGCATCACAACATCCGAATCAGTGGCGTTCCAGGAAATTATGCCAGTTTCATTCAGCCTCAGCCGATCAAACTGACTCTGGAACTTTTCTAATTCCTTGTCTCCCTCTCCGTTCTCAATGTTCCTTCCATCCAACAAGGTGGATGCAACCTTCTTAACGCAGGATCCTGTCGTTGGAGTTGCCCCAACTTTCCGGGATCCAGTTTGGGGATGAGGACTTTGGCTCAAATCATGATCTTGGGGACGTCATCTTCAGCCTCTGGTCTTGACAACCAATCAGCCAAATGGTTCTCCTTCCCTGGCACGTGCTGGATTGTAAAGTCACACTCTTGTAACCGAAGCGCCCAGCGCGAGCTTCCCGCCAGGATCTCTGGTGGTCCGGATCCACTCCAGCGGTTTGTGATCGGTTTCGACATGAAACCTTTGCCCAAACAGACATGGCCTCCACTTATCCAGGGCCCCGACGATCTCTAAACATTCCTTCTCAGTGGTGGAGTACTTCTGCTCAGTGTTAGTCAGGACACGACTGGCATGTTCGATAACCCCATTCTTCTGCTTTAGGACTGCGCCGATCCCGCGATCACTGGCGTCCGTTGCAACAGTGAACATATCTCTGACCCTGGGCAGTTCGAGGGTCAGTTGCTGACCCAACATCCGCGCTTTGACACGCTCAAAAGCCTCATGTACTTCTCCGGTCCATTCGAATTTCTGATTTTGACCGAGCAAGTCGTACAGTGGCGCCACGATCGTGTTGAAGTCCTTAACGAACCGGCTGTGATACGCTGCTCGTCCAAGAAACTGGCGTAGAGACCGCTTTGAATTGGGAACAGTACAATCCTTGATCTTTGCCAATTTTTCGGGCAGTGGGCTTACTTCTCCCTGACCCACTTTATGCCCCGGCAGCGTCACCGAACTCCGAGCAAGCTGTGTCTTGGCTTCATTTATCCGCAGGCCAGTCTCCCTAATCCGCTTCAATATAGCCTTCAAATAAACTGCGTGTTCTGGTTCCGAATTGCTGTACACAACAATATCGTCTCCGTACATGGCAACATTCTGGGGTCCCTTCGTTACACGAAGCATCAAGCGCCGGAATGTGAACGGTGCCCCGGACAAACCAAACGGCATTCGTCTAAATTGATATTGGGTGTCCCCAACCGTAAACGCCGTTTTCTCCCGGTCCTCCGCCTTGATAGGTAGTTGCCAATGTCCGGAACGCAAGTCGAACACAGTAAGGTATCGGGAGTGCTGGAGGGAATCGAAAATCTCTGCAACCAAAGGCACAGCCACAACCCGATTTTCGGTCAGTTCATTCAAGCGTCGGAAATCCGCGCAAAACCCGTATTTTCCGTTCGTCTTCCTCACGAGCACAACTGGAGAATTGTACGCACTGTTGGCTTCTTCGATTATACCATTCTTCAACATCTCCTGAATCTGTTTATGGACCTCCTTCCGTAGATAGAGCGGTAATGGACGGGAGCCATAAGGTCGAAAGCGTTCCGTCTTCACGGCTGCCAGCTGTTCGGTGAGTTGGTCCACTCTGATACGCAGTTCCTCCACTGATGAACCATCCCTCTTCTCCTGCGACTGCAACGTCGCCAGTGGTGCCTCGGGCAGTTCCCGGGCCAGATGCACCAGCTCCTCCACACTCAACCGGCCAGTTGCTCGTGCTAACCGCAACTGGGCACCAAGCGCCGGCTACACACGTCCAACGGACTGGTCCGACAGCAACTGGTGGCTCGACACTCCGTCCAGCCCCTGAAAAGCATAATCCAACGACTGCTGTAGGCCGGTGAAGAACACGGTCGGGTCCAATCCAGGTGCCATCCTGGCCGTCTTGAACCGCCTCATAGCCTCCTGGCGGTCGGTCGGCTTGTCGAACGCCGCTTCAAGGACTTCCTTCGCGGCGGCCCAGTCCATCTTCCGAGGTCCCCTTCTGGCCGCATCCCGGGCCGCCTTCTCCTTAGGAGGGTCTTCAGCGCCGGTCGGTCTCCAGTCCGGCGGCCTCCGCAACCTGCTCAACTCCTCCAGGAAGGTCCGAACATCCCCACCCTCAAAGGGTTGCGGCCACGGGATCTTCATCCTTATCCTGGTCATGGCACTAAAATGAAAGGAAGAAGGCCTTCGCTGCAGATTCATTTATTTGCAAATGCAAACTGACCAGATACAGACTCTCATTTGCATCTTATTTGCAGAAACTGGACAGCCGTTTTCTCCCAAACGCGTCTTCTTGAACTTCCCTGAAGATTCATTGACTCCAATCATTCCTCGATCAAATCCAGGCAAATGTTACAAAGTGGCTCCATGAATTCCGCAACAGATCTCCTCTTTCCAAAAGACGCAATGCGAAATTCTACGAACAAGATATACTACTCGCGTGCCTCCCCATCAGTAGTGTCACCGTTACACAAGTAATATTTACCTAAAGAAGCGAACGACCTCCCACTTATTATTTGGGTGAGTTACTTGGGACGCTGGCCTTATGTCAAACATATGCCGTCAAACCTGAAGGCATCAGCTGACCACCTGGACAAGCTCCAGTATAAGCCGGATGTTGATAACTTGGAGATATCTCAAATGAGAGTGGCGCAAATAGAACAGAAATACAACCGTGAAATTTTCAAGTACGTTTTATGAACTCATCAACAAGTGTAGGTGAACTCTTACCAAATACCTTCAGTCTATCTCGTAAAAGAAAACTTCCCACGTAATTATAACGTATTCTTCTGCGGACACTAAGTCTGATTGTCCAATTTTGTGACGTGTTTCTGCATTGGGCCTCGGATTCCCAATATCTGAGGAGTAAGCTCCACTTCCCAAATATTCCTTAAGAATCATCCATTCAGCAGTAACTACTACTGTAACGGTGATACTACTGATCGGGAGGCACGCGAGTAGTATGTGTTGTTCGTAGAATTTCGCTTTGCGTCGATTGAAAAAGGGAATTCTGTTGCGGAATTCGTGGGGCCATTTAGTCACATTTGCTTGGAGTTGACCGACGAATGAGTGGAGGAATCTCTAGTCTAGGAAAACTCGTTCGGGAGATCTGTGTCCAGTTTCTGTAACTAAGATGCAGATTAGAGTTTTGTTTCCCTGTTCAATGGTCTGTAACCGGTCAGTTGGCATCTTTGAACAAATAACTGCGCAGTGAAGGCCTTCTTCCTTTTACCACCACAAAACGGATCCACTTTTCCACCTCACATAAAGTGAAAGTACCTGTTCATCAACTGCTACTCAAAAAGAAATAAAATGGTATAAATGAAACGGCATAAACAGACACCCCGGTCTTTGTATGGCTGTCAAATTTTCAGTACTCATGAATTTACTGACATATTCGCCATATCTATCAGTGTCAGGCAGGAGCTTTCCTGTCATCCTCGTCCTTCTACTTTGTAATCTGTGCGCCGATTCATTTACAAATGTAGCACCCCGTGGATCTGAGTGTTTTAGAGACGTGGCTCACGGACATTGAGTGGATCAATGATACTGCAATCCTTGGATCACATTCTCTTAATATCTAAGCCATTGAAAACAATCCAACCAGTTCTGTAGTACGGTTTGATAAACATCTGTAATGTGTAAAGTGCCATTGCGGAATTGGATAGGACCAAACAGATAACTTGTGCGTGAATGTGGGCCGGTTGATGTTTTCTACACATCTTTGGGCAGCTGTATCAGACATGGAGGTCTTGGGGAGGGCGAAATCACTTCTCTAATAGGGGAGGCAAGTTTGTCGTTGACAAACCTGCACATATGGCCCCTACATGATATCGCCTTGGCTTCCGGAGACTGATGGGAACGGCATATAAGTGATGCTGAAGTCCGGCAGATTGTCCTCGGTGAAGTTCACCCTCCTTCCATAGATCAATTAGTCAAACTTAAGCGTTTACTCTGATGAGGCAATGTATTTCGTGTGCCAGAAGACCATTCGCCTCCTGGAACTCTCTTTGTCCAGCCTTGGATCAGATGGAGGCAATTCAGGGGCGCCCGGTCCGTAACTTAGAAACAGAGCCTGAAAGGCCATGCCAATCAACTGAGCCAAGTTGTTGAGTGCCGATGAGGACCACGAGAAGAGATAGATCCACAATTAATGACCCTAACAGATACAACTGTGGTGTTCATGCACCAAAGACATTACCTTCACTGAGTAGATCCACATCAACCAGAAACACTGAAAGTCGATGGACCGACGGAGTCAACGACTCCAACGCGCGACTCCCATTGCTTCATTCCTTTTATAATCGGTGAATAAAGCTGAAACTGGAATCACTCCGCTACATGATTTCACCTGAAAAATTCACGTGAACTGAATTGACCGAAAGCACCTGATATGCACATAGAACTGATAGGTAGGACTGCCGCAGTTATCTTGGCCGACCCGAATTGTTTTACCGCACACCATACTCTTTCGGCCATGGTGTGATTGCGCGGCAAATATTTTAAAACCTAATCATCAGTAATTAGCTTCAATATTCTGGAGAGAGATTTGGATAAGACATCTACATTCCACAAAACCAATGTCCTCCAAACAGACAGCATATTTATGTCTTCCGGATTCCAATTCATCATCATAAATAGCGTGCACAGTACGTCTGAACGGAGGAAGTAAAAGACTTCTCGTTAGTCGCAATACCAGAACAAACTAACTGGCGTGTCGCTTTCTTAATTGCACGCATATCAAAGCAGGATTTGTTGGAAATTCGATGTCCGTCAAAAAAATGAACCCAGAAATGAGAGTAATTTATCCCAAACGTACGATAGCACGGTGGAGCGTGATCATTTTCTTCTATTCTAACTTCAGCTTACCTGGAAACTTTGAAACGTAAGTAGCTGTTACCAATTATGATCTACCTGACTTCTGCTGTATGTTGGAAGAAATTTGCAACCCCTTCAGAAAACAGAAGTTTTATCTCAGTTTTCCACACCACACCTAATTGGTTCCTTCGGCAATAGAATGACCTCGGGATTTTATACGTTTATGCTGGCACTGTGCGCTGTTCTAAAGCACATTGCATGCGCACACAAACTGAGGGCGTATTTGTGTATAGTGTTCACTAGTTGAGGAATATCGTCATACGCACCCTGAAGCTATCCCCTTCTAAGGTTTCCAAATTATTTCAAACCAATCAGAAAACCCGATAATCTAATTAACTGACTGGTGAAAATTCAACCAAAGCATCCGAAATACCAATATTTTGGCACATCATCTGCACTATGTATATTAGTGCGAGTACAAAACATGTCCAACCCCAAAAACCGTATCTCTTAACTCATTCCACTGCTTTTATTTAAGAATTTTTGAAGGCGCTGCAGGGTAAGTTCCTTGTGACAAACACACTGTCGTACTTACATGGGAGTGGTACCTTTTGTCCAGCTTCCATCTGTTGTCGAAATGGACACCACGTCCATTTGTTCAGGAAATTTTAAGAGGGGTTCGCCATGACCAAAATGGTTAGCCGGTAAAAATTTCATGATCCTGACACTATCAAGCCAGAAACAGCTCTAATTTAGTTTGTCGCAATAAAGAAAACTTCATAAACTCTGAACTAGATGACTGAGCTAACTAGCTCTAAACACAATCAACAATAACTAGACAGAATCAGCGCTTCAAGATGCACGTAAAACATGGATTATAAATATTGGAAACAAGTCAATGGGGGGAATTTCCTCCTCCGAAAGCTATAAGCTTGTCGTGCAGAACAAGGCTTAGAACGTTCTAGCCAAGTCGCTTATGTTGTTTTGCTGTTCACAAAGGAACTACTGTATCGATTGAATGACAGTGGAAAACCCTTTACGCGACTGAAAGCCAACCCACAATGAGGACGGAGAAAATCGTATTTGAAAGTAAATCTGGAACTTAGCACATGAGGGATAGAGAAATGATATCGTCCAACCAGAGACCGATCTCATTCGAAAGAACTAGACCTTCTCTTCATTAACGATGACAGCTTTTTCTGATTGAATTCCAATGATAGGAATGAGACTCAATCAGTTGTAAACCCCAGTGTGCAAGAAGATTTGGACGCTTGGTGTTATTCTAGTTACTTACGTCAGTACAAAAATATGGCGGCAGTTTGAGGTGACCTGAGGGTTTCTATAGAGATTTACTTCTGCAAGCCATACCGGCCGATTTCAAGATGCTGAGAAGCACCGCACGGTTGGAAACTATGGGTTGCGCAATACTCTCTCGTCTCATGAATTTCGATCTTGGGACCTCCCGGCTAGCAGGTTGAACACTTAAACAATCGTGCAGGAACGGTTGAGCCACATTGTGATCATCTCGAGCTTAGACAGGATGTAGCACCAATCGTCCTTCACACACTTAAGGAACCGGCCAACACGTGTATTTGGCCCCTGCTATGTCCTGTCCAAGTGCGAGTCAGTCGCAATGTCGTTCAGCCTTTAGTGGCCCGGAAGTCAAGTGTTTAAACTAGTAGCCAGGAGTTCGTCAGTTTCAGGCTCTCATTAATCTCACGAACTGTAGACTGGTAATGGCTTTTAAGAAGGGTGAAACATTTTTTGCATTATTTCTTGGCTAATCAACATAGATTGGCTTCACTTACAAGACGAAATCCAAATCGGAATCCAAACTTGCCAACTGAGTAAAATACACAAAGCAGTAACCCAGAACAGGCGCCCTTAGGCTAGGCCCTCAACATTCACCCCCAGCATTCGGTTTAGTTGTCATAGTTTAGGCTAAAGTCGATTCAAGATATTGGTCTGGTGAATCGTTTAACAACCACTTGGGCGCAAGTCAGATTTAAGGCTGGATAGGATAGCCATAAAGTCAGTACTGTTTGCCATTCCGAATCTACAAAAACCGCGAGCTTTATATTATTCGACTACTGATAGCAGTGTACGCGCATTGTTCTTTTCAAATACGCTTTTTAGAAGCTGAAATGAAGTCAACGCTTACCTTGTGAAATAGAAGAAAGATGAGTGGACAGAGAAGGAATGTCAACCGTTATGATAATTCAGATTTTGGGAGTGGCAAAGCGACAGATCGTCGTATTCAGTATAGGATAACTACTGCACAAGACATGGGCAAAAACACACTATGGGCCATCTTTTACGATGTTGAATAATATCAAGTTATAGATACTAGCACATCCGTTCATGACGCAGGTTATGCCGTTCACTTTCGAAGAAGGTAACATGCTAAGCACCAACCAGTAGTTTCGTGACGAAACGATGAGAGAAAATTCATCGCTGCCTAAGTTTCTGCGAAAAAAAACTGATATGACACCCAAAACCGCATGCGATGTTAAGATTTCATCTTGATAAAACCTATTTCAAACAGACAACCAACCCGAAACGGTTTGATTTTTTCCCAACTTAGTTTCCTAAACTTGCAAAACGACGACGCCTTTTCAATCTCTTACAAGGGTTTCCTTTGAACCTGAAAAAAGGTACGTTTTAGGCATGCTTCATAACCCAGTTCAAATAGTATTTGTGATAAAAACAACTGAATAAATAATAAAATTAACGAAACAAAATTTTAAACACCCATGCCAGCCAACAAGTTACCACGGCACAGGGATACTAGAAAGTTGCACAAACCGGAAAACGAAACCTGACTGTTGCACGGCAACTGATGATTAGTATGTAGAAGGCTGGTGTCAGACGAGTCAGCTGAGTATTGATTTTCTAAAAGAAGCCGTTTACGTCCCAGTAGAGACCAATTGGTACCAGTCTCTTGAAATTTCGACTGAATACCAGAAATGACTACCGGTATGGTTGGGTTACGAAAAAGATTTCGACGAAGATTCTGCGGTCCTTTCAGATAGGAATTCCAAGGTCAGGTGCATAAAATTGATGAGGCCAATTAAATTACCCAAATAATAATTTCACAGGATGAGTTATAATTACACCCGAGAATTCGTTCCTCGAGCAGACAGTCAGCACGCATCCATGTGACGATGTTCATGTAACTGGGGAATGAACTTCCCTGTGTTTTCTCCAGGTGATAGCTGGTTGCACTGCTGCTCAGCCTCTCAAGCCCACAAACTACGAACCGTGGTTTCTCGGGTTTGGAACACCCTACTGAAATTAGTGAAGGAGCGCAGTGATGATGACTACCTATTGGGATAAAACAGCTGCACGGTGTATCCTGGCTTCTTGACACAGAATGACTTCACCTAAAAAACGAAATATCAACCGAAAAATACAAGTTTATGTTGCCACATAAAAGAGCGCAACAGCCAATCACTGGTGGACACTAGCCGTTTCAAATTTTGTTCCCCAGAATTTCTAAGCAGAAAGGTAATCGGTTGAGAAAGGATACTACCGCATGTTTGAATCCTATGGCATAACTTCAGTAACACCCCCAAGTTATCCGAAACCTGAGAGTTCATACGCCTAGAGGCAAGATAATTTTAAATATTTCAATGGAATTTGTACTGATAATCTGCTAAATACGTGACGTGCTTTTGAGAATTTTGAATATACCCACCTAGCGCCTCATCAAATCCAAATATTAGTACAAATTTAAATAATAAAAAAATAATAATTTAGAAAACGCCAAAAATTCCACAATCTTTATCTAAATATGAACACCTTTTGCCGCCTTGTTTCGGTGGATTTGCAGAGGGAGCAGAAATACCGGCTTCTTTACAACATCTGGATGTGTGATGAAGGGTGGTGTGTGATACTTCCTACTTGTTTGTGTTGTCATAGCCGGTTTCGTACGAAATATTTTGGTGTGATTAGCCAATCAGGAATGTCGCATCTACGGAATGCAACGACTGGTTATATCTGCAGGCAGTTTCACAACAGACCTACCGCAACTATGTCACAACAGCAGCCCCAGTCGCATCATGTGGACAGTAATCTTCGACGGACAAATATAGATTCTGGAGTTTATGTCAGCTATTCTCCAAAGACTGCTCTTCTATTTCCTTTTTTGGGCGCACACGCGCACTAGTACTCAGTGCCCAAAAACTAACGAACCCGCACGCCCCACCTTACCCTTAACAACCTACTCACAGCTTCATCTAGAATGATGCTGGATAGCTTCTAAACGAATCGCTCATTTAAGCAAACAGACCAATCACCATCTGCGCTGCCTAAGACACAAATGGTCTTGTTGGAGGCTTTCCCACAACGTTCATGCTACTATAAAAAACAAGGCAAAACAAATTTAGTTATACTGGAATTTTTATTTCAAAGACCTTCCGTTTTTCCCTGGCCTTTTACCTATAATAGCAAGCATATCACGGCCAGGATCATGCAAGACATTCCACATGTGCTGCCGAATTCCGCTAGATCACGGGGGCATATCAATTAGTGTGACCATATTGCTAGGACAACATGTGTTAATCGATTAGTTTTGTTGTAAGTCACCAAGACCCAAGTCCAATAGGTTGAGTACACAAAGAAAAAGGCCGGATTTCTTTTAGTTATAAAGTTAAAACAGCGTGGTGAAATAGGTTGTTGAAATCCGGCGTTTCGGTTGGGCGACTTTTCTCAAGGATTTCTACAATCAATTAAATATGAGTCAAGTGCAGTGGCATTTGGGCCCACTACCGTGTCTTCCGATTTGTGCAACCCTGTGATTAGTTGGCAGTCAGATTGAGTCAGCGTGCGTGCGTGGGTGTGTGTACGGGTGATTCTATGTGCACTTTGATTAGGATGTACTTCCGCTTGTTGTCCTGCCGGTAGAAATGCGTAACTTTTAAGATCCTTGCTTGACATCTGGTTACTCTGCCTGCTAAGGTATGCAGTAAGTCCATCCAGATAGACGGGATGCCGGTGCCATCACTCCTGTTGATGCAGTTCGCCTGTGTCAATCTCTAGGGCCTCAGCGCACGTCCGTTCCACGTG